AAGTTCACAAAGTACACCATTATTCAAGACTCGAAGGGCTTCGATAAGGTCTAGGTGCACTTTGCGGACGGCTCTGTTCAGATCTGTGATGTTCTTGTTGGCGCGGATGGCAGCATATCAGTAGTGCGTCACTTCTACACGTCTTTACCCGGCGCCTTTGTATATCCATGAAATACTGGTGGAATGTAGTTGGCTAATTACTTGGACGTGTGTTTGAAGAGGTAAACCATCAACTGGGAGCGAGAATCTTGGTCGATATTGATTCACACGTGTCGTTTGTTAACAAGGGCAACTTGACGCAGGATATCATTTCCGCACTACCTACGAGACTCCAGGCCGGGCCCCTCCTGGTATTCACCAAGGATATTACACTTTTTTATGCTTGTAAGTGCAACAGCAGATTACTCACTCGTTCCTCTCGCGCTTAGATTAATGAAAATTCCACTAACACTAACTACATAGTGTATCTACCAAGCGTAGATGGTGCTGCCGCGTCCAAGTCATCCACGACGGTTGGGTGGTATTCATTAGAAGGAACATTTTTGACGACCTAAACCCAGTAGGGGATTTTTTAGGCAAAGATGCTGCACAAACAAAGCTACATAATCGGGCTAAGTTTGAGGCAGATTGCAATGGACAGCACGGGCACATCACACTAGGTACGCTATTCAGCCGACTCTTGGCAGTCGGCTTAGCGACGGCTATAGATCGGCCATGCGATCGTGAGTTGTCGTAAGAAGACAGAAAGACGATCAAGGACAAATGATATAATGCAAGGGATTTCATATAGCTCAGATAGTTGCCCCTCTATACTTCGGCAGTTAATCTAAGCATTATTATCACCTATCACTCAAACTAGTTACTCCAGTGATCGAGAGTGGTATCACTCCCGAGAGATACAACAACCCAAACTCCAAGAGAGAACTACTGTCGAGTTACGCGACATTGCATAGGCTTTACCTAACTTGCAGAACAGCAACCTAACGCCCAGCATTCCGCTAATCCTGAATACTGGATTGTGGCAATGATACTCTATTTTACTATAGTAACTAGTGAGCTGGGGCAAATGGGGATTGGTCTAGTTAGGGAAACGCTAAATCCAGCTCAAATCAAGACCAAAGTGCATGCCCAGACGCTGTGTTATATTTTCGCGGCATAATGAGCTATATGTACGGAATCAGATTCAGGTTCGTGGAGTCTGACAGAGCCAATCTGGAGGTAGAAGTAACCCCAGAGAGCACGGTTTTTGAGCGATCATATAATCACGGCAAAATGTAACAGAATATGGAAAGAAAGTGCTTGTAATCTGATGTTGTTGTGACAGTTTGTTGAGACAATTAACGGCTAGGCTGGTGAGGGAGGTGGTGATGGCCACTCTATTGGTGCCGGAACGAAGTTACATATTGACAAATGTACCTGCCAATGACCTGATAACTGTAGTCATGTAATATATCTGCCCTGTCCTCCCTTCGCCGTCTGCACTAGACTTGGCCTGGTCATGCGGCCTTGTTGTGTGCGTCTGAGGAAGACTGTAGACGTCTGGTCAATGTATTCGTCGAGAACAGCAACTTGTTCTGGTGGTGCGGGTCTATTTTAAGCCATGTAGCGACACGCCCACCGCCAACTGTCGGGCCTGAGACACTGCCGAGCTGCGAACGTTGTCCGTGGTCCCTTGCAATTCGGTGCCGGTGAAGGCGTGGAACGGACGTGCCCACCTCCGGCTCCTCAGTGCCCAAAGCTAGAGACGCAACGCTGTGGAGCAATTGAGGAGCCGGGATGATGTCATGTCGCTTGCGCCGCCGATGCTGCCGGCGGTGCATGCACAGCGGCAGGCGATCTCAGCAGCGAGCGCTCGTATGCATATGGCGCAGGGCGATAAGTGGTGTGTGCGATTGGGGATTGCGTTTTATGGTGCAATACTAGGTTAGCAGTGCAAAAACTACTAGGCTGGCCTTACCCACTTTTCTAAGCTACGCTAGTTTTTTTTTGTAACTAATTAGAGCCTATCATTTAACGTTATCTCATCTACTTATCGCGACACCTACGCGAGCGCGTATAATCCGCGTATATTTAGCTATCGCTACCTCTACCGCCGCTACCGCTACTACTATAGTATCAATAACTACCTACCTACTATACCGACTACTATAGTGCTTCTAATTCCTCCCGAGGGTAGCCTAAATGGAGGACTACTTATATAGAGTTTAGCTGAACTTATATAGTTACTCTAGGACTTTGTAAAATAGCACGGATTTGTACTCCGTCGGAAGTAAGGTTCTAACCCTCGTAACGATATTAATACTAGGTGGACTATTTACTACGACCGTGATAGCGAGGTCCTAGGCCGTAGGGAGGGCCTACGAGAGACGGCTACGAAGAAGATAGGCTACCCCTTTAAGGGCGTTACTAGGAACCTCCTTATCGACGGTAGTTAGACCTTCACTATATCTAGCGACCTAGCTTATAGAGTCTATAATTACGTACTAAGCGGCGGTACTAAAGCATACATCTCGTATCGGTAATTTAATAACGACTAACGTAGCTATATTGAAGCCCTTACTATTATATAGCTACGACTACGAGATATCTATACTTTGTTTAAGTAGAAATACCCCGACTACCCTATTACTATTTCCGATATTAATAACTTCCTCTAAGCCCTCCGCCTTCGTAACCTTAATAGGTACACCCCGACGTAAGCCTTAATTCGCGAGTTACGCGACCGCTAGATCCCTTACCGTACGTACTTCGACGACGACGAGAAGCTTATTACTATAATTTAGACGTACCTAGAGAGTATAGCTATATAGAGGAAGTATCTAGAGGTATCTAGCTTCGATAACACTTATCGTACGAATCGATATAACATACCGCTATTTAACGTTACTAGCGTTACCTATAATAACTCGTCCTTTAATAAGTGCCTCGGAGTCGTACTAAACGAGACTTAATTCTAGTTTAACTAGCTCGTTAAGAAGTACGTAGAGATCGAGGCCGAGGTTAGAGCTCTAATACTAAACGTCGTAATCTCCGACTTCGAAAAAGCCTTTAAGAATACGGTAGTAGAGTTCCTCCTATATACTAACTAGTAACTCTATATCTTCTACGTTAATAAGAACGTTATTAGCTAGGTTAATAAGAAGTAGCGTTACGATAGTAGTACGGTAGAGGAGGTTAATATACCGCTTAGTAGTAAGTAATAGTAGTAGCTTAACGATATTACTAAAGATACTAGAAGTAATAACTTTAGCCCTTACCGAGTACTACCTACCGAGATCCTATAGTCGTAAGCCGGGGTAATCCTACTCTAGGAGTATATAGTATACGCTAATAACGTTAGCTACTTCTTAAAGGCCTAGTAACGTATACTAGTAGAGTTCGGCGACACGTAGTACGCTATCGTCGCCTATCTCGAAGATACCTATATACCTCTATAAAAGTAATAGGCTAACTACTATATTAGGAACCTTCGTAACTTCGGCGTAAGGACGACCTCACTAACGGAGGTAAATTATTATAACTTTAAGAATTACCTTAACTCGTCCCGCGGCGACCTCCTTAAGCTATTCTACTCTAGCGAGAGGCTTATAAAGAAGATCTCCGAGGCCTATAACACTATACTTACTTAGAATACCCTTAGTATTCGACGTTCCTATTAACGTATCTAACTTAGTAACGTACCTCTATATTTCTCGAGGCGTACTATTAACCTCGTAATCTAGTAGTATCGACGTACTAAACGCTACTTAGCGATAGCTTTAAACCTATAGCTGAAGCCTATCGACGTCTACTCGGTTAATACGTACTCCTTTAGCTAGTAGTACGGCCTTCCGTGTAAGCACGAGATCTTTAAAGTTATCCTCCTAGTCGACGACGGAGGTAACGAGAATCGCACCCTCTAGTCGACCTATTTCGATATATACTAGCTTACTAGTCGTAACCTCATCGAGGGCGTACCTCTATTAAGCGTTAAAGAGCCCTTTATATAACCTCGCGTAGGTCGACCTCGTAGCGTAGTAGTTACCCTCCTAGTAGCCCTTACTCTAGCGGGTACGAAGTACCACCGCTAACGTTAGTTTATTCCTAATAGCGTACGTCGCGAGCCTTTAGGCTAGGAGGCATCTTAGTAGGCTACTTTATAGTTATCTCGAGTACCCTCCTCCTCGTAGGTACGTTAACTACTATAGAGGAAAAGAGGCCCTCCCGCTAACACTAGCAAGAAGGCGTACACATTACCGCCGAGGGCTCCTAATAACGCTATCGATAGGTAACTTATACGGCTTACTTTAGAGATACTATAAGCGTAATCTAGCCTCTATAATATACAGACCTCCGTAGGTACCTCCGCGGTTAACGAGGTACCTACATTACCGCCTTCATTACCGCCTACATTACCGCCCTTCGACCTAACTCTCTACGAGTTTCCTAACATCGATAACCTACTTACTCCTCCACTAAAGAAGCGGTAGAAGGCTAGTAGTGCTTAGGCCGCACTAAATAGCGTTATCGACTTAACAGATATGTAGACTACTTAGATAATTAATAACACTTAATAACACCTACTCTGCCTACCCGGCCCGGGCCGTTAGGCCCATAGATCCATGAATTATGTATACCATTATCGTAGAGCTCAGATTTTTATGACGGTAATCGACAGATCTCTACGTTCTACGCAGGCGGTGATGCAGGCGGTGATGCAGGCGGTGATGCAGGCGGGTGGAGTTTTTGATATTGATGCACAAGGTCCTATTGGTTCAAAAATTAAAAGTGGGGTTAAATATGGGTAAGGCCAGCCTAGTAGTTTTTGCACTGCCAACCTAGTATTGCACGTTTTATGACTCGAATGGAGCATGGTTACCTAAGCTGCATGCTCCGACGTCCCAACTAAAAAACTGCAAAACCACAAAACTCATTTGCCCAAAGTGATACCACTAATTGTGGAGACGATGCAAAAAGTAAAAAAATACGATGTCTACAGACACCTGCTGACCATAATTCAGCGACATTGGCCTGATTCGAACAGACGCTCCTGTATAATTTATTAGTATGCGCTGTTATCATATTTGGCCTCGTTAGTAAGAACTTACCCGAAGGAAATAGATTTCTAGTCTATCGCATTAGACCACTCTGCCACAATGCCATTGTTGGTTGGTGGAGGCAGAAGGCTTATCACTCCTTGTGGTGGGGAGACTGATAAGCTCCCAAGCCGCAAAACAAAGTCTTGGTTTATCTAATCTGGACTACAACCGGAGACGTCGTAGTTTTATTCTGATGCCTGGGTGCTACGGTTGTGGCAACGCCGAAAGCCAAGCGAGGAGTCCTAGTGTGATAATAGGCGGTGATTGCAAATGCTATCGACTACTTGTTTCACAAACATTTCTCAATGATAATTCCCCTCGGACTCTTGCTTAGCCAACTCGTTTTGCACTACCACTGCATTTTCCTAGCTTGTAATGGTGGTGTAGCCAGATAATTACGGCTGACGCCTAATTCATTTTGGAGGCTACTTCTCTATGTCCCCCTATTCAAGAGGGCAAGAAAAATGCGCAAGACATCGTGTCAGCAAGCTAACCACACGCTTCCAAGCTACCCCCAGGAAGTTCGTGATTGGCAGGGTGATCAATTTGACCGTCAGCATCGTAATAAGAACACGAGGGTAAAAGCTTCTTTTTGGCTTATCCCCCCTGGGGCAAAAGCTTCTGTGCCTTGGCATCCATCGTGGCGCAGCCGCCGTCATACACGTGATGAGATGCTGACCGCGCATCGTTTCGCTGTTAGTATCTATAGATATGTGCCCTGGCTGATCTTGGGCAACACACTCACTAGGTACTAGCGCGACAAACGTGACTAGCTATATCCTAGATCCTCTCTGCCACTCGGGCTGTGCTAGCCACAACCTGGTCCCCATAACCGCATGGCCGTATTCATTACACGCGCGCGAGGCAGAAGCACCTGTGTCGATATCTCGTCCCGCGAAGCTTCTTATCAGCAACACTTCAGCACAAGACCACGGTCTTTCCATGCTCACGAGACTTGCGGCGCGAAAGTATGTGTTTTGCGACGTCTGCTTCAGCTGGCTACTGGAGCCGAGGCGATCTGATCAAGTCGGAGATGGCAAGCATCTCTGATATGTACTTTATCTACCGCTCATAGTGACCAGATACATAGTCGGGTGTGTCTTTGACGAGGAATTTCGAGTCTAAGTACCCGAGGACTCTAGAGTCTCGAGGATCACAAGGCCTTGGCAGGTCAGCCCTGAGAATAATTTTTACTCATCCGTTTCCGTGTTAAAGTCCTCCCTTTCAGCTGACTGAACAGTAGCACTACATTCGTCTCTTGGATAATTGCAGTGTAGCATCAAAACCTCCCCGCCCTCCGTTTTGTGACCACTAAGGTCTTCAAAGCCCCATGCTAGGCTCACAGAGCATACCGCCAGTTCGGGTGGTCGTCGCCCAGATTATCCGCATCGGGCTCCTGCAGCCGGTGGTCCCGCTCGCCGCGGTCGCGTCGCTTATTCTCCGCGCGCAGACCAAAGAAGAAGACGGTGCACGTCGCGATGCACAGCAGGATGACGCCCAGACTGACCGAGTATCCCGTGACGAACCCGGGCGACTCGCTGTCGAAAAACACATTCGACGCGATGAAGCCGCCCAGCCCGCCGACGGCGATCTGCACGGCCGACGAGACGCTGCGCTTGTGGTGCCCGGACATTGTGTTGGACAGCCAGCCCAGGATGACGGGCATGGCGGTGAAGCCGCCGCCCATGATGAGGAAGAGGGCAAAGTAGCGCGCGCCGACCGACAGCGAGGCCTGGCACAGCAGCAGGATGTAGCCGACGACGGCGATGACGAGGCCAACCATGGTGAAGGCGTACCGGTGGCGCAGCCGGTCCGCGAAGTACGCGGCGGCCAGGCACATGACCGCCGAGACTATGTACACGGGGATGGTGCGGATCTGGGCCTCGGCGGCCCGGAAGCCCATTTGGCTGAGGATGGTAGGGATGAAGAACTGTTTGCAGGGTGGAGGGGTGGTGTTAGTCTTTCTTTGAGATCAGGGAAGGAATACGTAGTCGTATGTCTTATGTGCAACGGCAGAGGGGGGAACAAACTTACCGACCCGGCGTACCCGTTGCTCGAGACGCACATGAAGGCAATCGAGCCTGTGTAGATCTTCCAGTCGGTCAGGATGCGCTTTGCCGCGCGCTTGTCGAGCCGGTCCATTGTGGCGCCGCCCGTGTCGGTCGCCAGGCGGGCGAGCAGCATCGCCCTCTCGTCGTCGCTCAGAAAAGACGCTTTCTCGGGCCAGTCCGGGATCCACCACTTTGAGGCAACGCCCACAACTACGGTGAGCAGGCCCTCGAGGATGAAGATCCAGCGCCACGACGCGTAGCCACCGACCATGTGCATGTTGCCAATGGCGAAGGCGAGCAGGCCCGAAAAGGCGCCTGCCGAGATGCTCCCGCAGAAGAAGAGCGACATGCGCCACTGCACCTCGTAGCGCTGGTAGTACATACTGATGAGGTACAGGGCACCTGGGACGATGCCGGCCTCGAACAGGCCCAGCAGGACCCGGCAGGCGATGAGCCCGTTGTTATTGTTGACAAGGCCCATGCCGACGGTGGCGATTCCTGGTGATGGCGAGAGGGTCAGCGTGTGATGGCAGGATGCATCTTCGAATGTCTCGGGTGTCAGAGCTTCTGCGAAGTAGGTCGGTGGCACATACCCCAGAGAACCGTAATGGCGCTGAGCCACGACGACGGCGAAATACGTCTAATAATCATGTTTGACGGTACCTCGAACAAAATATACTTGTATCGGCGTTAGAAAGCTCCACTTGCAGGGCCATTGGTGGAATCACATACCGGAGCAAAAAAGACAAACAAAGCAATATTGTAGTCGGCGCCCTTCATGTTGAGATCCTGGGTCATCCCCTGGATCCGCGCATTGCCTAAGAAGGGTCACGAGCGAAGGTCAGCCTTGATTACCTCGAAGAGTCCGTCTGGCAAGGTGAAGACGACATGGCGAACAGGGATTTGTACCGATATTGGTCCGGTCCATGAAGGACAAAAAGTAGACGGCTGTCAGGGGCGGTAGCAAGTGCCAGTCGCATTTGCGGAGAAGCTTCTTCAACACGACGGGGTCGACGTCGACGACCGCCGCATCGTCGAGCTTGTCCGTACGGGTGGTGGTGGTCTGGCGGACAGAGGCGGACTCTGCCTTCTCGGGCGTCGGAGAAGACATAGTGGCGGACTTGTACTTGGGACTGAGGCGGTTTCCGGACCAGGTAAGCTTCTTTCGCCAGGCGCCATTCAAAAGATCAAGGGTATAGAAAAAAGGGCCAAACAGAGAATAATATATAGCCAGGAGTGGCGTCCTCTTGTGCCAAGTCCGACCTCCCAGGGCCGTCCTGTGGCCCCCGCGTTGTTGGTCTGATGTTCCTGCAAGGCCGAACTCAGCCCAGGGCCGGAAAGACATCCCGTGCGGAGCGGGTAGGGATCACCAGTGGGGTGCGACCTTTCGAGAGCACCAGGTGCGACCTTGTGCGTGACAGGGTTGCGCAATCCTCGTGCATCGGGGGTACGCCGGGTCGACGTTGCGAACGGTGTGCCAGCGGCTATTGTGCAAGTCGTGTTTCTCTTAAACGTGACAGGGGGGGCTCGCTACACATAAAGATAAGCTTTCCAGCCCGCCACGGATGTGAATTATGATACGTAATCTGTGCAACTCTTGTAAAAAGGTGTGATTAGATGGGATGGGCAATGTGCTTGCAGATCGATCAATCATGGTACGGTCATTCCTGGTCAACATGGCACCTGGCCCTCTCACCACGATTGTGTTATCCGAACCGGCCCAAAGCAAAATGGCAGTTTATCTGCGGACGGAGAGCTAACATTGTTTTCACAAATTACTGGAGGTTACCTCACCAAGGCCGATAAAATAACCTTGTAGGACTCCACGAATTTTGGAAAACACGGTCGTAGTTACAATCACAAGCGGGAAAAATAGAGCTAGGAGTCAGAGACTGCAATTGTCATTTTGCAACGTCTAATTGGCCGCAGATTGCAGTCTACCCTTGTGAGCAAATATGTCCTGCCTGCCTAAATGATATTTTCTAATGCCCATCCCAGCTTACAATGCTGTTCATTTCAACAAATTGAACTGAACTAGCACCTTGACACATCTGTGCCTACAGCTTCCGCCATCTAATCTAGTGGCATCTCAGACACCTATCATAAAACCCTTCAGATCATCTTGTCAATGTTGGCCGGCACAGCTTAACCCGACTACTTTCCCTTAGATCGACATGCCGCTGTGCTTTGTGGTGTCCTGGCTTTCGTCGTCAGAGTGCTCCACCTCGCCGTCATCATCGCTGCCAAACTCCGAGTCAGTCCAGAGAACCCAGTCCTCTCGGGCCATCATCCGAATGTCCTCGAGATCTACACTTTCTGGAAGGATATGAGAGTATTCGATCTCGGGTGAGTTGCCCAGTCCACGGGCAACGTGCATCTTGAGTCGTGTCGCGACGTGCACATGGAAGGGAATATACCAGTTCGGGCCACTGCCATGGTCGCGGTCAGTGACTTGATGGCTCTTGCTTGGCTCTAGGTTCAGCTCGAGATCCCAGCCAAGATCATCCTGGTAAGACTCCAGCAGTTCGTCCGCCCTATCCTGGGGAACGATGTGCCACGGCTTGCGATGATATACCTTGTCGTTCAACTTAGCTGTTAACTTCTCGTCGTCATCATCGTTAACATCGTCAGAACCCCCGCCGTCACTATTGCTGGATTCCCCGTCGGACTCTTTACCACAGCCAAGCTTCCGACAATCGAAAAATTGGTTTCTCTGCGGCGCGGGCTCGCCTGTGAAGTTGTGTGGCAGCCACTCTACAATGTGGACCTTTTTGACATTCATGAGTTTGAGGAACTTGCAAAATCGATCGACTTCATGCTGACAACCAAGCGGCAGAAGCGTCGCTCCTGACAACGCAAGTCGGTCGATTCGCATCAGGTCCTTGGGCATGAAATGGCCAACTTCCCAGGAGTGGCCACTCATAAGCGAATAGTTGTGGTGGCTGGGGTCCTCGATTGTGGTCAAGTACAGCGTGTCGATCTTGTAGTTGAACCAAGTCATGGGCTGGGCG